GGGTCCCGGGCCCCCCAGCCCAGGGCCCCCCCCCACTCCAGGCCCCCCCCCGGTCCAGGGGCTTTGTGCGTCCTTGTTGTTTGACAGGAATTTTACAGCATTTACACTGAGGAGAACGAGTGACCTGTGTCTGACCTCCATGTTCTCCACTTTCACCTCCATCCATGATGATGATGAAGACCATGAAAATGCCGAAGGACAGGTCTCCCCCTCCTCTTTTTATGGACACAACAAAAATGTGGAGGCTGGATTTATCACCAAATGAATAACCAATAACCCAGCTGCCCACCGTGAACACCAACAGCTCAGAGACGGACATTCCCGACCGTCACTGCTCCACCAGACCCAGGTCAGAAGTTACACGCTGCTCACTTCAGGTCCAGTTCTGCCAGAGAAGCTGCAGCGTCTTTGTTGGAAACATCTGTCAACTCTGAGGTCTGAGGTCTCTGACAGGTCCTGGTTAACATCACACTGACGCTCCTTCGTCTGCAGCAGCTGATGAAGAGGTAAAGACAGAAGAGAGAGACCTTCAAACGTCTCCAGACCGTCACACATGCTGACCAGATGTGGGTCCAATTAACCATCGTGCCTGTAATCGTAGCTAACTCTGGGGACCATCCTAATTGGCTGCTGTGAGCCTGGAGGCAGGTTTGATTCTGACTGAGCTGATGACCAGCTTCATTATTGGAGTGTTTTTCTGTAACAGCACAGCACAGAGCCTGGAAGAATCCAAACTGGATCCAGCTGTGCAGACAGACCCTGAGAAGCCGAGACGCTCCACCCAGTCCTCGTTCCTCCATGTCTGACGGACGGAGCTTCGACCTCTGAGCTGGTTCAACACTCGGTCACAAACTGGACCATTTTGAAATGTAGTTTTCTACAGAACTGCACAGTCAGCACCACCATCTTCATCTCTGGAGATGAGTGAACACCATGATGATCCACTCTCTCTGCTTCTGTTTCCTCGCCATCATCGAAGGCTCAGCAGGACAACAGTCAGCTGACCTAAAACAGCACAAGTCAGTGTTAGCCTCGTCCAGGTTAGCTAAATCTATAAGTCAAACATAAATACATAAAAATGATCATTTTGCTAAAGATTTTCACCCTTTAATATCAAACCCAGAAGCTTGAATATGTGGAGTTTAGGTTTGATTCTTTTTAAACTTTGATTTAATTTTAAACTATTTTTACACGATACAATTAACAATGACCTTTCCATGACCTTGACCCATCACCAGGTCAAATTGGTAACAAGTATAGAGAGGCTCATTTTAATAATAATAAATTTAGTTTTATAGAGAAAAGAGTATCTTAGCAAAAACATACATATACATGTATACAAATATATACAAATAAAAGCACAAATGCATAATTGCACCCTATAAATGAGAGAAGAGGGTTTTCTCTTTTCTCCTTGGTAAAATAACCACAAAATCCAATTTGTCAATTTGGACCCAGAGTCCACATAACTCCTCGAATGACTTGATAAATGAGGCATCAGTTGATGATGTGGGAAAAGATGAAAATGTGTCTAAAAAAATGGTCAAAGACTTTATCTACTGTGTGGACCAGACCAATAACTAGGTATAGGTCACTGGTCAAAGTTTTTACCTTTTACTCATCGTCAGTAATGGCGTCCTTTGACCTATGACCTCCACAGTTGTGAATGGGACCGTGAGTTTATTAGTTTATTTTCCCTGAGTTTGTGAACCATCCAGACACATCTGGAGGTTTGGTGACATCATCACTGTGAGCCGGTCACATTCTTTAGTGAGTTTCAATTTAAACACGGAGGCCCTTCCTTCCTGCCTTTATGAACTTTGTTGAGTTGCCCAGATTTTCTGAGCATTGAATCAAAACATACAGTTTTCAGCCTCAGCGTCGGCAGCTGCTCACACTCACACCGACTAAACAAATGCTGGTATGGATGTAAACTATACAGCACTCGGCCCATTCATCTGTCTGTTCATGTAAACCATAACACCCCCCAACCCCACCTTCACCCCCGCCCCCACCCCCCCGTACCGCCAGCCTGTCAGTGCAGCTCGGTGCCGTGATTAGCTTCACATGCTTCACATTAGAAGGACGTGGTTTCTCTCCATCTGGGCCTCCTCCATGAAGAACGCACAAATAAACACGTTTGTGGGGGTGGGGGTGGGTGGGTTAGGGAACCTCACACACATACATTTAAACGTGCAGCCAGAGAGCTGCATATGATTTAATCACCTTCACGCTCAGAGAAACAAAGTGGCTTCACTCCTCACCCCAACCCTCCCCCAAAACCCACCCATCAGGTCACTTTCCCTGAACCTTTTTGAAGTCCACACCAAATCCATGTCATTAAACCTTTGTTGAACTTCAAAGGTTTAAGGTAGAAACATTCACCAGTTGATAACACTGCCAGTAGGTGGCAGTAACCACGGTCTGGTAGCTACACTGTTAAAAGCCAAATTAGAAGAAAATCATTTATCCTCCAACATCCAGGTCCAGGTCACCTGGATCAGAACACAAGGTCAGGGGAGTGAGTGAACGCAGCCAAAGCCTCAACACGGACAGATGGAGGCGCTTACGTTCAGTTTCTGACCAAGGTGGTTTTTATTTGTCTGCTGCTGCAGGGTTTCTATGAGAGACGAGGAAGAGGATGTGGGAACTTCAGAGGTCTGAGTTAGAACAAAAGTTTTTTTTTCTTAGGTGAACTTGAAGAAGTGTTTTAAAATATACCAGATTGTCAAAACTTGCGCCTTGTGGCTAACATTGGTACTGCAATGTTTTGTTTCCTGCTGGCTTTTTGAACTCAGACTAACTCCTAAATGAAGTCGGCGTCGGCGCTGATGTTCCTCAGGACTTTGACGACTCCTGGATCTCCTCCTGGTTTTTCACCCTTCACTTTTTCTCAGATTCAGCTTCAGTTTTCACTCCAGCGCCGTCACTTGTTGATTTCTGTTATTCCTCCCGCTAATGATACAGTGATGAACACATGAAAGGATCGCATGAATTCCTGTCTCCCACACTGTCCCGCTGTTTTGAACTGGTTTGTTGTTCTTCCCAGAGGTGTCGTTTTCTCCTGGGAACGTGGTGATCCACACTTGGAGTGGGTGTGGTCCAAACCCCCAATGCTGTGACCCACAGAGCGGGGCCTCCAGATGGGAAACAGATTTTCTTTTTCTAATTTACACGCGTCTTTGTCTTTGTTTTTCACAGGCTGCAAACGATAGAAACCTGAGACCCGATGGAGGGGGGGCAGAGCCTACTCCTCATCCTCATGGTAGGATTGTGTTTCCACAGCATCACTGCTCAGAGAACAGGTGGGTGTGATTATCATCCATGACTTCACTTCCTGCTTCACCTAAAACACACAGGGTTTTGGCCGAGAGCTTCACGCCACACACGCACAGCGTCACTAACTCTGATCTGATCCTGGATCTGCTGCATGAACCTGAAACTCACACCTCACTGTTAGACCTCCACCGTCATCTGAACATGGATCAGACCTGGAGTCAGGATGATGGTCAGTGTCACTGCAGGGATTGACCTGGGTCAGAACCACAGGAAGGAAATGAATCCAAGGAAAAGTTGTAAAGAAATAAGAATGAGAAAAAAGATCAGTTTCAAATAAATAATTAGTTGTGATACTTAAAAAAAAAACAAACTACACACAGAAACACCTTTTAGTCAATCGCCCTCAGACAAATCTGTGATTTCAGCTCACAGACACAGCAATTGCTGGGCCACTGCTGCCCCCTGTGGTCGGTTTGTCTTGCTGCAGTGAATGCCTATGGACTTTAAACAAGAATTTAATTTCTCTCAGGGGATCAGTAAAGGCATTTTTGATTCTTAAACAGTGAAGTCACAAAGCAACACATTTTAACGCAGTGCTGAGATTTAAGAAGAACTCTCTGAACTGTGGGAGGGGTCGACACGGAAACAGAAACAGAAAGAAACCGTATTTAATCTGTTGATGAGAACGGAGTTACGACATCTGATGACCTGATCTGTCACCACTACAGCACTGACCGCCTGCTGGTCACACTGTCAGTCAGATCTCGCATGCAACTTCACACTCACCAACCCCTGATGTTATGAAATGTCAACTGTCTATCAACACGTGCTGCCCTGATGAGTGCAGTGAGGGAGAAAAATAACACCAGACTTTCAGTGGGCGGTGTTTGTAAACCATTAGAGTGAAACCTTCTGTGTACTCAGACGAAGAGCAGCTCTGTTAGTCTTAATCACTAAATCCTTCTGATGGGAATTAACTTAGAACAGCACAACTTTTCCTTTTCTGATTTTCCTCTCGCTTCTGCTGCCATCTAATGGTAAGTTCAGGAAAAAAACACTCCAGCAAACACAGCAGCTGAGTAGTTTCCTCTCACCCTCTCACTGAACCCCAAACACACACTTTACCTCTGGCTGCCGCACCTTCACGCACCCAACCCTGCTGGTGTCTCCCCTCACCCACTTCCTGTCCCCACGTCTCTGGACCTTCAATTATGTTGACCACCTTCTTCCTTAGTCTGTACGCAAGAGGGCGTCGCCGACATTGTCTTCATGGTTGACGGGTCGTGGAGCATCGGTACAAAAAACTTTGAGCAGATCCGCCAGTTCCTCTACACACTGGTCAACAGCTTCGACGTCGGTCCTGATCGAGTCCGCATTGGATTGGTCCAGTACAGCACCACACCGCGCACAGAGTTCCTGCTAAACACCTACCAGAACAAGTCTGACATTCTGGACTACATCAGCAAGTTGCCCTACATGGGCGGTGGCACTGAGACGGGCCAGGGCCTGGACTTCATGATGAGGGAACATTTCATCGATGCCGCCGGAAGCAGAGCCAAACAGAACGTCCCTCAGATCGCCGTGGTCATCACAGACGGGAAGTCACAAGACAACGTAGAGTCTCACGCTAATGAGCTGAAGAAGAAGGGTATCGTTATTTACGCCATTGGAATCAAAGAAGCCGATGAAGAGCAGCTCAGGGAAATTGCCAACCTCCCCCACAGCCAGCACGTTTACAGCGTGTCTGACTTCACTGCTCTTCAGGGAATCTCCCTGAGCGTGGTTCAGACGCTGTGCACCACAGTGGAGGAGGCCAAACGACAGCTCCTGCAACTGTCCACAGGTAAAGGGTTTGCTCCACACAAGGTCTCAGGAGACCAGAATCTCACAAACACTGGTGAATGTTGGAGGGAAAAACCAAGACCTCTTCATCTACAGGCAAACGTCATTCAGGTCAACACCCAAACTGATGATGACCTCAGATGGGAGGTCTTGGTTTGTCTCTCCAGGAGGTCTGGTCGTTTACAGCTGACTACATGATGATCAGCTGTGGTACCGACTGAACCTGTGCAGATCCAGGTTTTGATTACATATGGTAAAAACAATGACTGTGAACAGCCACATCCTCTGGGATATGAATTTTTCAGGGAGTGGAAACTGTTCCAGAATATAAACTAGAACCCTGATGTCCCTGAAATGTTTTTTTTTTTTTGTGGTACTAAAACACGGCTTTTGTCTAATGTCTAATGAGTCAAAGAAAACCTTGTTTTTGTCTTTCCTAAATGTTTGAGTCACATCAACTGGGACCAATGAATTAGCCTCCAGAACAGATCCTTGACAACGTATTTCTTCTACATTTCCTCTAAGGTGTTCAAGCTACGTGGACCAGGAGTCGAACAGTAGATAAACTCTTTCCTTGTCTAACTTTGTTTTTTCTCCCCGGCTCCAGAATGTGCCGCAGCCACTAAGGCTGACATTGTCTTCCTGGTTGACGGTTCCTCCAGCATTGGCAGCAAGAACTTTGCCGACGCTCAGAATTTCCTCCGCAGCGCGGTCGAAGGCCTTGACATTGGCCCTGATAAAGTCCGGATTGGACTGG